GTTCTGGTAAACAGCGAAAGGATACGTCACCTTCGATCATACAAGTTCCTAGGTGTTATAATGGACAGAGACCTCTCATGGAGCCCACATGTATCATACATGAAAAGGCGATTGACAGGCATCTGTCCTTTGTTCAAGTTCTTCGCTGGAAAGAACTGGGGAATGTCCACAGCTGCTATGTTGCGACTATACAGGATTATTTTCCTTAGATTCCTTCGGTACAGCCTACCTGTGTTAACCAACGCAAGTAAAACAAGCATACGAATGCTTCAAAGTGTCCAGGCTCAAGCACTCTGGATTTGTTTAGGCTTGCTTCAAAGTCCATCAACAACGGCAACTATCGCCATCACAAGGGACCACCTCATAAAGACGCACATTAATGTTGAAGTGCTAAAGACACGTATACGACACCTTGCTCGAACTCCGTGACATCACCTAGCCTCTCTACCAGTGGACCGACCATGCACATCTTACTGCAAAACAGTGACCGCACATGGTGAGTCGATCCCAACTTCGTTCTCTCCTGCCGCTAGACCTGTGACTCCGCCATGGTGCCTTGCTCAACCAATGATTAATATTAACATACCTGGCGTCCAGAAAAAGGCCAATTTGTCGTCACCAGCTCTTAAACAGTTCACACTACTTCTCTTGTATGAGACATACCAAGACTCCACACATATATACACTGACGGATCGGTTCAGCCGGACAGCTCTACAGGTGCAGTAGTGATACCAAGGTTGGCCACGACAAATAAATCAAGACATCTCACACAACAACATCAACGGCAGCATAATTGGCAGCACTTCGTGCCGCGTTACAAGTTGTCGTTGATCAACCTACACGCAAGTGGATTATTTTCTGCGACTCGAAGGCGGCACTGCAGTCTCTACTATCAGCCGTACGCCGCGGACCACGCGAGCAGCTGGTACTAGAGATAGCAGCGGTTATACACCACCTGACTGAGAAAGGACACCAAATTACATTTAAGTGGTTACCCAGTCACTGCGGAATCATCGGCAATGAACAGGCCGATCAAGCTGCCCGCTCAACCCACACAGAAGATCATAAACTACGACTACCACTTTCTCGCACAGATGCTGCACGAAAGCTCCGCAGGCTTGCTCGCCAGCAAACCACATCACAATGGAATCAGCCACATTTCAAGCATGCCCGACTGTACTCGCTTGACCCTGCGCTAAGTCTTCAAGTCCCGTTGAGGCTTTGCCGAGCAGACCAGACCCTGTTATGTAGGCTGTGGTTGGGCGTTGCGTTTACCAACGCCTACACTTTCCACATTGGGATGGCCGACACCGCAGCCTGTAGCCACTGTGGCAAAGAAGAAACGATCCAACATATTCTTTGTGACTGCCTAGAGTATAGTAAACAGCGACTATGCCTTCGTGAGGAACTCAGCAAATTAGATAATCAACCTCTGTCGGAGCAAGGAATTCTACAATATCGACAAGTTGCGACTTCACAGAAGAAGGCCCTGAAAGCGCTACTACACTTTTTGCGATTGACTGGCCTTACTGTACGGTTGTAGCTAGGGTGCCCTTCCTATGTGTGTTTTCGTTTTCACATGAGTGCGCGAGCGTTTTTTTTTCTATCTACCCCCTCTTTCTTGCCCCTATTTCCCGCCCCCAGCGCTGGGTAGCAAATCAGATGCCAATATCTGGTTAACCTCCCGGCCTTTCCTCTCTCTCTCTCTCTCTCTCTCTAGATATAGCTTGGCCGTGCTTAGGTATACCTGCAAGACCAATGTTCGTGTTCTACAGGCAGTACAAGCCTAAGCACTGAGATTGTGCCTTGGTCTGCCCAGATGTACGTCAACAGAGGCAACGATTGCAATTGCTGGTGACTATCCAATACAAACTCACATTGCTGTAGAAGTCCTCAGAACGCACGTCAGACACCTTGCACGTGCTCCCTGTCATCACCGTCCACTGTTGCCGTCAGAGAGGCGCGAATCATCGTTCGCTAAAATGACTGTGAAGTACAACGAGAAACTTCGCTCGGGCTTCACTCCTACATCTAAACCATCGATACCACATTGGTGTCTTATTCGATCCACAGTGCACCTCAGTTTACCAGGGATCCGGAGGAAATCTGAGCTTTCATCGCCCGTGTTGAAACAACTGTCTCTTCTTTTGCACGAGAAATATTCAGACAGTGTACATATATATAACGATGGCTCCACGAACCGCCAGTGTTCGTCAGGTGCAGTAGTTGTCCCAGCAAGAGGTGTTACCGTCAGCTTTAAATTTAACCACTCCACGGCATCTACAGCAGAGGAACTAGCTGCTTTGCGCGCGGCGCTTTGAGTGGTCAATCGGGAACCGCCGCAACAATGGTCGATTTTTAGCGACTCAAGGGCTGCCCTACAATCTGTGCTCTCAGTACTGCGTCGCGGGCCGTACGAACAGCTTGTTTTCGAAATTCGATGCCTTCTCCACACTTCACGCGAGAAAGGGCATCATGTGATGTTTCAGTGGCTGCCAAGTCACTGCGGCGTCATAGGGAACGAACATGCCGATACTGACTGATTGATTGATTTATATGTAGGGTTTAATGTCCCGAAACCACCATATGATTATGAGAGACGCTGTAGTGGAGGGCTCCGGAAATTTCGACCACTTGGGGTTCTTTAACGTGCACCCAAATCTGAGCACATAGGCATACAACATTTCCACCTCCATCGGAAATGCAGCCACTGCAGCCGCGATTCGATCCCGCGACCTGCGGGTAAGCAGCCGAGTACCTTAGTCACTAGACCACCGCAGCCGGGCGAACATGCCGATACTGCCGCGTGGGTAGCTCTTGAAGGAACACAAGAACAAGCCATACCACTTTCGCGGACTGATGCTGCTAGTAATTTTCGGCGACTTGCGCGTGAAATCACATTTTCACTATGGTGCCCACCAAGCAACTGAGACGAATTGTCAACACCACCTGTCCTCTTTGATGGCTATTCGCATGTCCGCTGGCCTCAACCGAAGAGAAGCCACCTTTCTTCATCGCTTATGGCTAAGAGTGGCATATACAAAACCTTATTCATTTGTCATAATTGATTGATTTGTGAGGTTTAACGTTCCATAACCATCATATAATTACGAGAGACGCCGTAGTGGAGGGCTCTAGAAATTTCGACCACCTGGGGTTGTTTAACGTGCACCCCAATCTGAGCACACGGGCCTACAATATTTCCGCCTCCATCGGAAATGCGGCCGCCGCAGCCGCGATTCGATCCCCGTGACCTGCGGGCCAGTAGACCACCGCGGCGGAGTATTCATTTGTCACAAGAATGGCCGACGACGCTCTCTGCGATGCCTGTCGCTGCGAAGAGACGCTACACCACATCCTGTGCGACTGTCCGTTGTATGACATCCTGAGGCAGTCACTGGCGTCCGTTCTTGCGCGCATCGACAACAGCCAAATGTCTGTGGACACTATTCTTTCAAGTGCCCGAGAGAAGACATTGAAGGCGACAAAAGCACTGTTTAAATTCCTACGCGACACGGACTTGAACAAGCGGCTGTAACAGCAATATCACACACCACGGAAGAGAAGACAGGACTATGACTGAGTGTGTGCGCGTGTGCTGCCTAATGTGCTGTGTTTATCTCTCTTCCCTCTCTTCTCTCTATCTTTCATCTCCCCATCCCCTCTGATGCGCAGGGTAGCCAACCGGCTGCCTATAGTCTGGTTAACCTCCCTACTGTTCTTATCCTCCTATTTTTCCTTCCTTCCTTCCTTGAAGTTTAGATGCATGTAGACACTTACTGTAAAGCGCTTTCTTAATTGGTTTTCAGGAGTGTTATTTCAACTTCAAGCTAGAATATTTAAGAATCACTGCCAGAAATATACCGTTCCCAAAAGCGGCAGTGCAGTAGAAGCGCCCATGGGGGCTATATGGTTTAATATAGACCCAGTACTAACATTTTTTTCCGAGACCCTTAAGTTATATGACAGACAACGCACCACTGAGAGGGGCCAGAGCAAAAGAGGAAACACCGCTCCTTGTCTCGGTCACAAGAGTGAAACGAAAGATCTAGTTTTTTCTTGAAATGATCATCACCCTGATATTGTTCTGAATATCATACTTGTGGCAGCAGGACACACTCTTTTCAATAACTACGTGTCTATGAAGACACATGTTCGAAAGAGTACAAATAAAACTGCTGGAACTTTGTAAAGGAGTAAGGAACAGTTCCTCTGTCTGCTCTAGATAATGTGTGTGTGCGTGCATGTGTGTGTAAATAAACGAAGGATGAATAAAGTTTACCTTAATTATTTCGTCGCTTTGTTGGTCCTGCAAACTTGGCTCTTATACATCGACCACACGTTCGATAGCGCACAGTCTTTGACTGTTTCGTGGAAGAAATGCAGCTGAATTTCCAAATGCTTTTAAGCGCAATACATTACTTAAAACAGCGCCCTTTCTTGCCCAAAAGGCAGAGGAAACCTGTTAGCCAAGTAAAACTCGCCGCGAACGCTTTATCTTTTAACGGTAGACGACGGTGGCAGTGGATTCACAGCCTCCCGTACGCGCGCTTGCTTGCTCGGGCAAAACGAGTGACGTCACAGGGGCAGTGAGCAGGCCTGGTAATTTTCTGCACTACAGCTCTGACGGGTTGCAGACGGACGGACATTGCGAAGTGTTAAGGGTATTGATCGATTGATATGTGGGGTTTAACGTCCCAAAACCACCATATGACTATTAAAGACGCCGTAGTGGAGGGCTCCGGAAATTTAGACCACCTGGGGTTCCTTAGCGTGCACCCGAAGTGTTAAGGTGTTCAACCCCTAAAACGATCTTTAGAAGGAATGAGCTAATACGCGCGTCACATTTAACCTTATCAAAGAGTCTAGATACCTTGTTGTCGGCTACCAGACTGTTATATAATTACCGACACAAAAGTGTCCGCACCGCGCTGCCGAGCACACGGAGAAAAGGGTGCATGACGACGATTCTTAAAGCGTGCCTGATGCTTTCTCGCAGGTGGAGATGGAGCGCTGGGTTGTCTGCTACGGCGAGGACATGCGCGATGTTCCCGACGCTCATTTCGACGCGGTGATAGTGACGCACCTCCTCTGCTCCGTCCACTGCCCTGAGAAGGTTCTGCAAGAGTGTCGCCGAGTTCTGGTCAAGGTCTGCTAGCAGTTTTTGCCATTTCTCAAATGGGGCAGCGCGCTTAACGTTTCGCACCTCGAAAGGGGCTGCAGCTCTTGAAGGGCGTCGCTTTTCGAATTATGGGCTGATTGCTACACCTGATGACTGTCGCCATTACTCTTACTACTGACAGTTAACGTTTCTAACCATAGGCGTATCAGCGGGGGGTTGGGGCAAGAGGGGCGCGCGCCCTACCACTGAGAAAAGTTGCGGAGGGGGGGGGGGGGTCTTTCGGCAGTGGTCACTCGTGGCTGCATTATAGGGAAATCAACAAGTAAGGCGTAGTTTTCCGTGACAAGAGCAATCACTCAATCATGTTCTAACGGGAGAATAAACATGTCCCGAGGCAATCCTACAACATTGTGAACTTTTTGCCAACATTTCCGCTGAGGTGGTTTTTCTTGTTTGCTCTTTGCGGTGCGGGTCCCCTATGTGACGCTTTCTCGTCTTGTGCTGTAGTTGTGGAGCCGGCAAGCGCTGAACAGGGGCCCTATAATATTACATCACTTGTTCATGCTTTTATGCAGCTGTGACTTGTTGATGTAGCTACGGACGGGAACGAGGAAACTTTTTAAAGATTAGTCAAAGCATTTGCTGCTTCCGGAAAAAAACCTTCATCAAAGAGAATGTCATCACCGCGGCTCTGTCGAAAGTGTTGCGAGCCGATGAGTGTGACGAATCGTTTTCGATATTTAAGTTTTTGCGTACTGAAACGCCAAATTTTGTTTTGGCTTTAGTCTTTGATGAACCTGATCAGCCTTGCGTATGGTAACTTGGAGACATACCGGCAGCTTGCAAAGTGGCCACGAATAAAACAGTGCACTTGAGCTCAGTAGGAAGCTTGACTTTTAATCTTGCCCCACAACTTGACCCACCGGATCAGAGAAAAGGTGAAAGGCCGTGGTTTTTAGCACTATGGAGGCTTAGTCAAGAGTCGGGCTAGTTGGTTCTTACTCAATTTGGATTGTCTTTTACAGCTAAAGATACATCTCGGACAGCAAAGAAGCACAAAGGTGCAGCACTGCTTATTTCTCTTTCTCTCAGCAGGTATATGAGCTTACGCAGATGTATACGCGCACAAACTACTAAGCATCGTTATGCTGCGAGTGCAAATATATTATTATTCTCATAATTCTTCTCGCCAGCTGCTATAAGTACCCGCTGTTTATGTGATTGGCAGCTAGCCTACTTGAAATACATTTATAAGGAGATGCTCTCCGGCTTTATGACGTCATATAACAAAGGCGATTTTGTGGCACACAGGAAGTTTCAAATGCCGAACAACAAAAGGCAAACAATATGCCGTATAGAAAATAGCTTATTCTCGTATTTATCCCGCGGTCGTGCATAAGTGGTCATTAGATGTTGGATCATTTTGTCGTGATTTGTTACCTCACGTAAAAAGCTGGTGCTGTGTGCATTACAAAAACTGTTTGCACCAATAATACACAGCTAACGCATATTGCGAAAAGAAGAAATGAGGGATATAGTTTAACGTTATAATCACCCATATTTTGTTCTTTCAAAGGAAAGTTTAGTTTACACCGTTAGTATTGGCGTATTCATGCGGGTGCCTGGGAGCCCCTTAAAAAAGGTTGAAACAATTACAATGAGTGTAAACAATGTAGCATGCTCCTAACACCACAAATTATAATTTTTAAAGAGAAGTGTTCAGAAGTTGATAATAGGTTAATAACAGTAATATATAGCAGTATAAGTATAGCAATATTACTAATAATTGCACCCTCTAGAAACAGTGTTCAGACTATTAGCAAACAAGGCAAATTGTAATACACACAAGCATGAAATCTGCAAGAAAGTGTTCTACGCATTATGAAAAAATATAACAGCAAATATTCGTTGAAAAAACATGGTTGATCTTTCCGTCATAGCAATCTGCATATAGCACGAAAGTAACACGCGCTTCTGCAGGGGTAAATAAATCTTACTGTACATTGATAACCAGGGTTTGCCGAATGTATGATTTGTTGTTGAGCAGCTATAGCCCTGTTCAACGAGGATGTATCTTCGTTGACGCTTGGTACATCTCCATCTTGACACTAACATCTATGATAAATTTATTATACAAACTATAGTGGTATCTATAGATGCCTACCGCCAAAGCATGATCAGCCAAACAGGCATAATAGCAAGATGAGCGTCGCATATTGGACGCGGAAATTGGGCTAAAGCGCCATTCCTCGGCACTACCTCTGTGTGTTTCTAAATTTATAGCAAAGTGCGAACGCGTCGATGAAGCTTTCTCTGTTGATATATATATATATATATATATATATATATATATATATATATATATATATATATATATATATATATATATATATATATATATGCAGGCATGGCGGTGGAATGGCCGTAGCGCTGCAAATAGTCGAGTATATCCTCTGTGAGAAGTCACAACGTAGTTATTTCTTTCGGCGTTTCAGACACACTCTGGCCAGATTCCTAACGAAGGCCAGACTCTGGCTGAAACGTCGAAAGAAATAAACTACGTTGGGATTCTCGTGGAAGTTCTACTTGGATATTGTATATATATATATATACACACATATATATATATATATATAATATATTATATATATATATATATATATATATATATAATGCCACATGGTCTGCTTGGGTGAGATCCATGAGTGAAAGAGGACAAAGACGATCTCTCTGAGCCGCTGCTTGGCCAGTCGACTCAACGAGCCCGTTGTATCACGTTTGTCGTCAGTAACGTGACAAGACTGGTGGAGTTGCTGGGTACAACGTCTCACGATCCACCCGATGCCCAAGACCCCACCCAGCAGCCGGAACACAAGCCCTGCACCCGTGGGCGCTCCTGTTCACAGAGCAAGTTGCCTCCAATTAGGCCTACCGCCTGAGACATTCACTACTGACACAGCGACTATGACTTCGACACAGGCTGCCGTGCAAGCTCCGACGTCTTTTAGGCTGATCTACTGCACCGTCCAGAACCCGCTCATGCCTAGCCCCTTTCACGGAGAGCAGCATGTTGGTGTTCACGACTGGCTGGGTGACTTTGAACGTGTCGCAGCGATCTGCGATTGCTGCATTACTGCGATCTTATTATTGCGATCTGCGCATTATTACTGCGATCAGCGATTACTGGGATGATGCCGTGAAGTTCCGGAACGGGCCTAAAGGATGGTGCCAATCGACGTGGTTTGTGAACAGAGATGATGTTCTGATATGTTAGCGTGAGTTCCAGCGTCGCCTTCTGGAGACCTACAGGAGCCCCGACTGCCGCGAACGGGCGGAGCGTGCACTACAATCACGCATCCAGATGCCAAACGAGACCGTCTCGATGTACGTCGAGGACATGATACGGCTTTTCAAGTGAGCGGATCCTGATATGGCAGAACAAAAAGGTTGCGCCACCTCATGCCTGGTGTGAAGCGAAAACTTTTTGCTGGTTTGGTGCGTAGTCCCCCAAGAGTGTTGCTGAGTTCCTTACTGAAGCGGCAACAATGGAGCGAGTACTGCACCAACGGTCTGCCCGGTTTGACCGTCAAGTGAATATTGCTTCAACCCCCGAATTTTTCGCCACTTCTGGGAGCAAGAGCCCCGAATCGATTCGCGATGTGATCCGCTGTGTCGTCCACGAAGAAACGGAAAAGATGTACGGGACAAGGGAAATCGATGTCGGTTCCATCACCAGTGTCATCCGTAACGAGATTCAGCAGGTGCAGCACGCCAATCGTTTTCCACCGATGTCGGTTGATCCGGAAACGGCTCCTGTGTCTACTGACAGTCACCGTCGAACGTACGCAGAAGCCTTGTGATCTGCCATGCGTCTTTCAGGTCAAGGAGCCCCGACCTAGACAACGCCACACGTCCCGATCCAGACATTGTTGCCATCAGTCGCATTGCCATGTCGCAAAGGTGCCTTGCATATGTGCTACCCTTAAAGTTGCTCCTGTTTTTTTATTTACGTTCCTGCATCCTATTCCCGCATGAATGTGAGTGTTCTGCTGTTCAGTGTACATATGTTACGAAACGTACACAAGCATTTAGTGTTTAGTCTGCTATTACAAAAGTAAGCTTTCGTTGATTCTGAAAGCACAACTAATGTGGTAATACTTTTCGGAATTTGAAAACCCTGTTACAAAGTTTTTTTAAGGAACCGGGCGTTTCGGGGCCTGTTCTGTCGCCTTCTTGGGAGACTGAACAAGACCCGAACTCTGGTGCTCATTTCAAAAACTTTTGCTGAAGCCATCGCAGTGTTTAGTGTTTAGAGGTGTTAACACTGCGGGACAGATCTTTATCGAAATTAGCTCCAGATGGTTTTGAATCAACTTGACCCCAGACCATTTTGTGTGCAGAAGATACTAGGACCTTGGACATCTGCGTCAGTTGCGCAGAAAGCGACTAAAGCACTGCTGCTTTACTTAAAGTCAACAAACCTGAGCGACCGCCTGTAGACTGTGTGTGCTCCCAGAGTGTGCTCGTGATTGTGTGTACCTTCTCATCTCTCTGCAACCTCTTTTCTCCCCTTCATCCCTTCCCCAGTGCAGGGTAGCAAACCGGATGTGCGTCTGGTTAACCTCCCTGTCTTTCCTTGCATCTTTATCTCTCTCTCTCTTTTCATATTTCGACAGCAATTTGTCGTTCTTGTTGTCTTTTCACCAATAGGGTTTTTTTTTTCTCTCAGTGGCAAGTGAACGTTAAAGGAGCCCTGCTACACTTTTTGAGCATGGTCAGAAAGCACTGCCGATCAATATTAGAGGCTCTCAACATCGCGGGAGCCAAATTATATAGCGCATCACGCGGCCTGGAGTTCACAATAAAGTATCAAACTCAGCTGAAAATCGCTTCCTTCGACAAATCACGGAATAAGCCCAAAAAGTACTCGCAGTAAACCCATCTATCAGCCATTGGCTGATTTGAACATGACTCGCTCGGTCGTCACAGAGATTGCCGCTGGAGGCTGCGACTTGTCCACGCGTGCGCGCACGAGCACGCTAGTAAAGCCGCGCATACGAAAAAAAAAGTGCTCAAGGTCACGAGGATCGCATGACGTTTTTTTTTTTTTTTTGTGCATGCCGTTTGCTTAGCTTCCAGTGCTTTCGTCGGGACGAGAGAAGAGAGAAAGCAATCGCAGCATGCGACGAACCTTTGCAACTCTGCTCGCACTGGATGAATTTTTAAAATTCTTGCGCTGTTTAACTCGTGAGGCAATAAGCTCTTACAGAGGGTTCATTACATGGTTACTTGAAACAAGTGTTTCAGGGCCCTTTAAATGTAGAAGGCATCAGACAGGTAAACGAGCTCAGAGCTAAAGTTTAACGAGATAGAAGAGTCCTCATGGTAAAAAAGGGGAGAGAGCAAGATTGAACGTCGCCAGGATGAGCATAACGAAAGCTCAAAATTTAAACGGTGGTCGTTCGCAGAGGGTTCCCTAGTCCACTATTTTGTACCATATTCGTATATCCTCGGAATGTTTTTGCACTTTCAGTCAGTGCATGTATACGTGAAATCTGCTTTGAGCATGTATACGTTCATTTGTGTCCTATAAATGTGAGGGAATACTAATCAGTAATGACGTCATCATGGTTATACTTTTCCTGCAGTTGCTGCATTATCAACACATGCAGTACGCGTACGACTTAACAGCAGTCTTGCAGTCATGACGTCAGCAGGATAATATCTTGAGGGGGGGGCACAAAACCTTGTTGCACGTGGATGGGGGAGAGGGTATATACTGGCGGGGGGTGATGTGCTTGAGGGGGGTGGCAAGTGCCCGTTCTGCACCTCGCTGCTGACACCTATGCTTGAAGCGGAGATCGTGCGCAGTGCGTGGCTTATGTTCTCATATATCTGTTTTTGCATTTCTCTTCTACAATTCATATTATCAGAAATAAGGAGATTCATGACCCCGCCTGCATTTTTAGCCTGAAGAAAAATTGTGGACCATCTCCCCGGTGGGAACCCTGATAGGATGCGAAGCAGTAGCATTGCGCACGGATGTGATTGGCGTTTTTTTTTTTACTCGTGCCTCGTCGGTGCCGTTGGTCTTTCGCTGCCGACGCTTGGGTTTAGCTTCTCTGGCTCACGCCTCGTTGGTGTTGCAGGCGTGACTTCGCCTTTCGCTAATGCAATCGGCTCTGCTAATTTTCGCAATGCCGGTGACGGCCGGTTTCAGTCAAATCGCTTCGGCGCATGTTTTGGCGGATGAATTCCGGCGTCCTCTCCACCGCAGATAAAGGAGGTGAAAGAGTGTTCACTCGATGTGTGCTCGAACGTTGCGAGTGGTGGATAGGGGAAGCGAGAGGTGACAGACAGCGAGCCCGCGGCAGGCGAAAGAGTGACGTCACCGCGCACCACGAGGAAACGCTTGTCGTATTTGGCACTGCCACAGCACCTGCGGTGAGGGGATCGTGGCGCCGCGCGTTGGCACGGAGACACGGACTGACAGCGTTACACAGGCTAGTCAAAGAGCTGCTTCGCATGTAATAATAGACACTGCTTAGTCCATGAGCTGGACGGCGGCTATTTTTTCCGATTGGTTGTTTTTGCAGGGTGGCCGGTTGGTGTTTATGGAGCACGTGGCACAGCCCAAGGGAAGCGTGGGCCGGATGTTGCAGAGTGTGCTGACGCCTTTGTGGTGTATCATCTGGTGCGGATGCTGCCTGAACCGAGACTCGGGAGAGGTCATCAAGAACGCCGGATTCAGCGAGGTTCACTTGAAAGAGACGAACGTCGACATGCGCATCATCTTGACGCGGCATGTGTACGGCTACGCTGTCGCGTAAAAGCGACTTGGCCCGGCACTATAGGCTTCTTCTGTGGTACAGTGTCACTGTGCACTCACTGCATACCGCTACGGCTTTTCTTGTTCCATGCAGAACATTTACGTAATGAAACTTGAAGATGAAGTAACACCACAAACTGTATATTTTTAAGGAGTTTTTTTCGCTTAGTATAATGCAAATGTAAGGTTTGATACGTATACTTGCAGTATTATGTTTCAATATTTGTACAAAGCATTCTATCAAATCAATTGGTGCATTTCTCCCTCTGAGGAGGTGTTTCAGCAGGGCAGACGAACTGCCGTAATATCTACATTATACGCCGTCTTCAGTGCTGTAGACGCACCTTTTTGGATAGCCTTATCAAGGTGCATGTGTCAAGTGGTTGCATTACAACCTTTAATAACTATATGAACCTTCTTTAATAGCAAGGCGCACGCATTTCTTTATAATATCCCTATGATTTGAGCAGGACTTCTCTATAGCTCTGGCTCGGAACTGGGCAATGATACCCAGAAAGGTATTCCGAACACTGATGTCGAAATACACGTTCTGGCAGCCTGAAATGGAACACCCTAGAAAACACATGCAGGTAGCGACAGACGACGGCATTTCGTCATCCGTCCGAGACCGACAACACGTCCTCCGCGATATGGCCATCAGCGGTTTCGGGATGCGTCACCACATGGGCCACTTTTGTGCCGGGGGGCGACCCCGCGACCCCCTTGCCGTGTCGTCCACTGGCGTCGCGTTTTTATTTGGCTTAGTACAAGAAATTCTTCTATTTCCCTTAGACACTTGTGAGCTTGTTTCCGGCCAAAAATGTAACCGGATGCCTGTGTCTTGCACGGTATCGTGATGAGGTCGGTACGTCATAAATATATGTTACCTTTGAGATACTTGCCTTTACTGCATAATGGCCTTCGTTGCTAATGCGTCATTAAACGCCACAAACTACTGAGGCGCAGATATATTTTTCAGGTGTATGTCTTCAGAGAAATACGGGTACGCAAACGTATGTGACGTACTATTACGATACTACCTGGCCCTACGCTTGTTTATGCTCTGCTCTAAAAACATTCCAACAGTCAGCACCTCTCCTATGTTTGTGAAACAACATGCTCGACACACCGTGCATAATTTTGTCTGATGCGTATGCTCGCAGAAATTGTGCCTTTTTTGTAATATGTTTTTTCTTTGTTGTGGCATAATCAAAGTACTTGAAGTCCACGTTGTACGTGCAGTCTCAATACACTGCACTGAGAAGTACCCTACTTTTTTATTGCTTTAAACAGTATTACTGAAGCGCTGTGCTTAATAGCATGTCCAGGCTTTATTCGTGCTGCAATTGCGGCGTTCATTTCATATTTACTGGGCCGCAGAAGGTTACAACACCACGCGTGTTTACACGAAAAGTACCATATGGTAATCTTTCAGAATATTCCTCACGGTGCTGTTTTGTCTCGCACTTCTTTTTTACTGGCTAACTGCTGGCCAGATTTTCATTTATACTTTTGTAAATTCTGCGTCTTGGGGCACCTTGTGCAAAGTAAGCGCTACATGATTGATTGATTGATTGATTGATTGATTGATCTGTGGGCATTAATGCTCCAAAACCACCATATGATTATGAGAGACACCGTAGTGGTGGACTCTGGAATTTTGTACCACCTGTGGTTCTCTAACGTGCACTCAAATCTGAACACACGGGCCTACACCAATTTCGCCTCCATCGAAAATGCAGCGCTACATGAACAGGACGTGTTTTCAGTTGCTAATAAATTGGCGTTCACTTATTTCACGTAGGAAGTGTCGTGCTTGCTTCTGTCTTCTTTGATGCTATGCAATCTGATAAAATTGAAAAACTGTATTATTTTCAACGTGAAAGCTATAGTATTGTAATCTTTAGAAATAAAAAATAGTTGGAGCCAGTCTTAGGCCAGTGAAATGGGAATAAACGTCGCAGTGAGCTAGGCCACCAAGCGATGGCAGTTATAGGGCTCCTATCTCCCTCTTCAGAAGCGCGTCTAACTGGCCTGGTTGGTGCACGATTAGGATGTGAACAAACAGAGCTGGACACGGGACGGCGAAAAAAAACGACTAGCGAGGGCCCTTAAATAACAACCACTTGTTTACTGCTGAAATATGCAATATACGCTGACGCTTTGCGCAGAATAACTAGAACAAAGTAACTGCGATGACAGAGAAAGAAGTCACCATGTCAGATGAGACAGTTACTGAATACATGCAACGCAGGTAAGTCGATGGCACACTGACGCAAACTTTTTCGTGTGCACAGTAAGCTTCACTAATTGCGCTTCTTCTTTCTGACATCTCTTTTGCGCCCTGCTTTACTTTCTCGCATCGTCTTTTCCCCTCCATCCGAGCCTCGCAATAATCCTCCTTACCCTCATTTTTCTTTCGCATACTTATTCTCTCCCAAAACTTCTCCTCACCTCAATTTTCCGCACCATCGTTATACAATACTACCGGGAACCAGCGCTGGAGTTTTGATGTAAGGGGCCTGTATTTTAACGCGATAGCGTTAAAGAGCTCGTTTCGCATAAATTCCGGTGGCGCGTCTGTCGGTCTACGGATGTGCTGGCTGCACTGGAGGAATGGACTGCCCAAGCTCATAAGGAGCTCCGCCCCTACAATCCTGGGTCCGAGTGGGAATCGAACCCAGGTCGTTCGCGTGGCAAGCAGATATTCTACCTCACGGCCACGCGCCTACTTGTGAATACAGTGAAGATAACTTCCTATAGTCACAGTAGCTTTCATGCTTTGCAGGCACACGCGTCCTGTATACATGCTTCACAAAACTGAATTACTACAGTAATAATTCGTGTTACAAGCGTTCATTACCAGCGGGCTATCAGAACATCCGATTATTTTAATAGCTTCGTTGTTCAAAGCCGGTCACCCACCACGAAAGGCACACACACACACTACCTGCGCCCATTCCTTCGAGGCCACGTAGTAGGTGCATAGCAAGTTAGAAAAGGTTTGATGCACTGAGTGTTTGAAGCACGCACAAGGAACAGTATATTGCGTTTAACCCCAATAGAGGCGAAGCTTTAGGATCGCCTAAATTTTTTTCAAACATTACCGCAAGCTCCTCCACTGGGCGCCGCTTCTTTCTCGCTGTCGCTCTCGGCCGCCATTATTGGGCGAGTTTAATAAAGGGCGCCCGGCATGCATGCAGTGTGTTGAAGCACTTGACTGTGGTTACTGCGCCCTTTAACCTGCCTATAACGCTTCAGAGGCGTGCCATGAAACTTGTATTCACTTATTAGGACATTATCGGTTTGCGCAACAAACTGTAGCTATACCTTGAACCACGCAACGACAGACTCTATCAAACTCTGCATGTTTTTTTGTCTGTATTTTTATTGCATTTTAACTTTTACACCATGTGTTAGTTTTCCCCTCTCCTCCTTCTATCTTCCTACTTTCAGTCAACGCCGACTAAATTTCAATGCCGAAAGGCTGCCGCAGTGACGTCAGAGGGTGGGGGCCCAGTTACATAAGCCTGTGTTTCGTTCACGTTTTAGGAGAACAAACGCTCCCGCTCTCGCAGCTGCTGCGGCTTGATTGGGCCGAATAAAAGATGTGGAAAAAAAGTCTTACTGAGCATGCTCAGTTGGGTAACTGGGCCTCCAACCTCTGACGTCACTGCGGCAGCCTTTCGGCCTTGAAATTTAGTCGGCGTTGTTTCAGTCCCCACTGCCCTTCCCCACGCAGAGCAGCAAGTGAGTGACTTCCACGTGCCGCCTCGAATCTCTGCTTTTCAATTAAGAGTCGCTACTCTCTTGAAAAGGTGACAATTCTGGGCGCACTATAATACAGCCGTTCGGACGTAAAATGTTTAAAAAAAATCCCGCTCCGGTACCTTACTCACGAACAGCTTTCTGAACTTGGCACCTGCTTTGACAACGCTAAAAACCTTGGCTTTGCGCGTTGTACTTGAGTTCATTAGTGTGGGATGCGTCACTCGCACCAGAAAAACACGAGGCAGAACATATGTTAAACAGAATCCTAGGAAGCCTATACAGCTGCTGTTTTTCTTTTCGGACGCCGTAGCGCTTTTTTTTTTTTCACATGACTCGATTAAAAAAAAAACTGACGTGGCATCAAACTATGAACGCACAACACGGTGGAGGCACTCCTTTGCTAAATACTCCAATGGCGTATTTCTTTAAATTTTTAACTGCGTTCACGCCCTTCTGTAAATATCTTTTTGGCACCCGGTATCACTATGATTAGACTCTCTTCAACTCATGTGTGGATAGTTTTGATTATTAAAGAGGGGATAGAATCTGACTAGGTCTTCGACATTTCTCTCTCACTCTGCCCGACCTATATACACACAGAAAGAGAACTGCGACTTCACAATTAATCCCTTGAATATTTCTTTATTCTCTTAGGTGCTGACACCACGATATTCATAGGAAGACTTCTTTTTCAATTCACACAACGACATCAATCCTCCTCATAACGCGCTTGGTCCAAAGAGAAAAAGGCCGCACAGGCTGCTACTGGCTGACTGAATCGCATAAAATTTATCCCCACAATGCGTCGGATCTACCGAGTTTATTTTTTCTTGGCTTGTTTGCTTTGCTTATAGATATGCACCATACAAGAGAGAGAGTGGACAAAGCCTTGCACAAGAAGCTTTAATCATGCCAGTAAATTCAATATAAGGTACTACGAAATAATTTCCGTAAGCTAGCAAATACGATTTGCTGTTTTTGTCTGAAACTCGGTTCACGAGTTTTTCTGCGATTGGTTGTTTGATGGACAAGTATTCGAGTGGTTCTTCGGTCATCGCGAACTGGTAGTAAAATCCTTTGCAGATAAATGAAAAATGTGGTCCATCTTTTTTCGTCACATTTATGGCATGTGGAAGGGTACCCATTTGTAGACAACCAAGAAATCGCTCGCTTTTTCTGCTACTGGCAAAAAAAAATTGTGAAAAAGCCTTCACTGACCGAGTGTGCCGTAATTTCTATGTACCCTCAGTAGCATTTTTGCAATGTCAGGCAATTCGAAAGCAAAAGTCGACTTAAATCTACAGCAACGAAGTTGATTTTAAATGCGAAACATTTCTTAGCAAACTTTGGAGCTCCTATCTATCTGTCTGTCTAGCCACTTATGTTTAGGTGCTCTCGTGTTCACCCCCTTAACTTCGCGTGTACTGAAATTAGCATGGGAGGGTAAGATGGTTTGACAAATATGACGCGCTCGTCAAGACATCAATAATGTCGCAATTTCGTCGCGTCCGTCGTCAAACACGTCCCGCCGAACAGTGGCAAATACCCAGGGGCTAGTATGTGCCGCCGGTGTGCTGGTGTGTGCCACAGCTGATTGACACTTAGTATCTCCCTTGGAACGACGAGAACACATATGGGTAATTTTAACGCATTAGCGTTAAGGAATACCTGACATCGGTAGCGTGGACCCAAAGAAGGCATAGAATAAATATCAAGGTTCCAAGGTGAAATCGAGCCGAAGAATTCTGCGTGGCAATAAAGCATTCTACCACAGAGATACGCCAGCTCTCGGAGCTATATACTTTTTAGATAGACGATAATCTTTATGAAACGTCAATAGTGGCTGCAGTGCTGCCAACCCTAATTTTTAAACAATACATATGTACTCCGTGGATACAGCCGTCACGGCGGGTCGACGTGAATTGTTAAGTGCCATGCATTGAAATTTATTTATGTAACAGTGACCAGGACCAGCATCTTCACGAGCATCAGCGCTTCATATCACCTACTTGTATTGGTAATACGCATGTTCCAGTTGGCATCGTTGCGCAAGTGCAAACAGCTGGTTTTATTGTTACGGGGAACATTTATTCACTGACAGCGCGTTTTGCTAACGCCTTAAAGAGCGCACAGTCATGCAGGCCAACGGGGGAAGCTCGAGAGTCCAACCCACAACAACTACATGGTCGTCTTCCTACTTTTGGGTGCCATTTCACCTGTGCCGTGGCGACAGTTTCATACACGTAGCATCACCCCAGCTGGTAAGGCGCCGTCTCGGTGCCTGTTAAATTGGAACGTACGCCTTCGTTCACATGTCGTTATATATCCCTAGAAGAACTGGCATGCCGGTGGTTCCTAGATTTTTCAGAACACTGTACATTACGTTGTCGGCACCGGTTCCCGTTCTTACGCGAGTTAGGGATAGAGCAGTACGCATCTCTAGTGGAGAATACGTGTTATCCAGTTTAGCATGTGATAAAGCGTATGCATACTGTAGTTGCTGCTCTACAGAACTAGGCAGTGCAGTAGTGTTGTGAACCAATTGCCCAGTTCCAGTCAGCATTGTGCAACCCCTATTAGAAACATGACGTTCGGATAATCCAAGAGATATGGCCAATGCTCTGATTGAGTTTCGCTGGGATACTGGATGACTTAGAGCAGTGGTTGTTTGCCAGATATTTGGAAGTGCAGTAAATGAGGTCGATGAATTGCAGAAATCATGCCATTTTTTCCGACCTATCTTTTGCGTGTGTTGGTTAGACTTGATGTGTGTGGCCTGACTCTTCTCGTAATCTTCTAGCCTCCCAGTGCGGCGATAGCGACGTTCCGCTAGTCTTCTGATTGCTCGTAGGCGCTCATAGTCTGCATCTACACTGGAGTGGCCTGCTGGGATAGCTGTAAACCTTGACGCACGGGAGCAACTGCTTTTAATGCAGAACATAAAGGTATCCAGTTCATTAACTCCCATAAAGTCACGTCCAGTATGTTCACGAAATAGTTTCCAGTCAGTTGACTTTGAAA